TGTACCGAGATTTACTTCCAAGTGCATGTATGTATGAAATCAGTAGTTAGGATACATTTTAAAATCACTAGTGGCTGAGAGGCTAAACACCGCCGAACACTAGTAGTTCGATCCGATTCCGATTTCTGGCGAACGGCTGGTTGCATGGGTGTATTCTTGGCTCTGCTTATATGTAATGTTCCAGTTTTCCTCAGATGGCTTTTTCGCGAAGACGTTATTCCTTTTAAGCAGATAGTCTCCATATACTTTAGTATATAATACATTAATTTAAAAAGTCGTTTCTAAACCTAAAGTAGCAATTTGATCTGCAGCAGCAAGCACATGACAATACAGGAAAATTAATATAACTTATTCATAAGTTCTTTCATTGTCTTTTGCGTTAACATTGGATATGCAACTAAGTTTTTGTTCATCTAATTCATTTATAATTTGTTGGTTGTTGTGAATGCATTTGAAATTTTTTAGGAGATTTTAGGAGGAAATAAAAACGAAGTTATTCAGGGGTAAATTCGTAAGAGCGAATTAAATCTTTAAGCACATGTTACTTCTATCAACCGAACGAAATCGGTGACTATATAATACTTATTTCTTTATTATTCTAATTAATTATTAAAACATTGTTTTACACTCATGTACTGCAGCATATTTAACTGTATTTAATCTTGTTTGGCAACTTACATTTTTTACATTAAGCTTCGATTAAGCGTCAATGGAAATTATTCAGAACAGTTATATATTGCCTTATTTTAAATTTGTTACTATTTATCCGATGCCGATTTGGCATCGGATAAATAGTTTTGAATACATTTTAAACATTATATTTCATCCCTAATTACTTTCTTTTTCGAGACTTTTGAATAACTGAAAAGGCTCAAAATATGCAAATTTCATTCTTTGATTGTATCTGCCGATCTACGATACACTAATACTTCCCTGCTACGTAACGTTACACTTAATAAAATTTGTTAGTCTTAAAAAAATAAGAACTGGTATCTACATATTATTCTGTGAGCGGCCAAGTAGCGCTATTTAGCACCAATTATGGATAACTTCCTTCCTTTAGAATACCGTATTAACGACTGGCGACTAGTGCTGAAATTTTCACCAACGGTCGACGGAATAATACGTAACTACCTAGGAATTTATTTTCTTTTCTAATTTTTACATTAGTTAATCAACATTGCCGTTTATTTCTGGTCGTTAACTGAAGCGTTATCATCTAGGTAACTCTATTCTTTAGTTGGATGGAATTTTTATGATTCTCACCATGTATAGCATAATGTTAATACGAGACTTTAAATTTTCGTGAAGGTACTTACTCTAAGACAAATAGTCACTGATTGCTTTCCCATAATAAACTAAAGACAGATTTATAGCGCTGATGAAGTTGCTTTAAAATATAGACAATAACTTTACAGATTTTCATACGAATTCAATGCAGTGGGTAACAAAAATATTTGGCCTCCATACAAATCGCGAAACGTTAAGCAATTTAAATCTGGTGAATGCAGGAAAAATGAAAAGCATACCAAATTATGTATTTGCATTTTAATATGTATGCAAAAATATAAAAGTAAATACAAAATGCATGAAAATTTAGCCGTAAACAAACACAAAGCCTAAACTAGACATACAAAAGCATTAAGCCACCTGCCATAGAAAGGAAGTACGCTTATAATTTAATAATCAGTATTTAATTGTGTTATTTCCTGCACATCTGCAAGTTTTAAGCAAAGATCTATCTTTTTAATCAATTTTTGGGCCAAATGCTACCAGTTCTATTCATTTCTATTTGAAGGTGTAGTTTCGATTATTTTTATTTTTTAAAGAAATTTTACTCGAAGATTTCTTCAAAGCCTGTATTAAATGTTCAATGGGTTTCAAATTTGACTGAAGACATAGAATTTCAAGATGGTTAAGAATACTTCACAGAACCGTAACTTCGCATTTAATACATGTTTCAGATTATTTAACTGTCGGACAACAATGTCGCCATTTAACCCTAATTGATGGTAGCTGTTCTTAAAAATTATTTTTAAAATATCTGAATATACATATAGACCCATAATGTCATCTTTAAGTTCCAGTTTATATACCCCGGCCTCTAACATTACATTCCCAAGCTTTCATCGAACTTCCTTCATACTTGCCAGTAGCACAAAAATTGCGTTGAAAAAATTTTGATCTGGGCTTTCGCTAAAAGATTTTCCTCATGATGGTGTTAAATATTTTGAATTTTGATTCGTCCTGAAAACAGCAGTGTTCCAGAAATACAGATTTTTATTGAGAAATACTCTCAAGAAATCCTGTCTTTCAGATTTCTTTTTTTTTTTTAATCCATGGATGCAAAGTAATGGATTTATAGGGCAAAGCTTATAGCAACCTGTCTTCTACATCTATTCATTACTTTGCAGGATTTGGCGTTATGCTCCAGTGTTTGCATTCTTACCAGAAAATGCAGCAATTATAGAAATTCCTTTACTGTTCAACAGGATTTGTCTTAGCAGCAGCAGCAGAGATTCAGAATTTTTGGTCTCCCAGTTTTGGATTTATTCTTTAATCAATCCTTTCAACCCTGGTGGTGGCGTTTGCAATCTTCATATGTAGAGGCCTATTTTATTGGTAGTAGAGATTGTTTTTGGTAGTATGATATGACCGGCGGTAGTTCAGATTGCAGAATTGATTTATTATAATTCACTCTCACAAGATCAGAAAGTGTAGCCTTTCTCAGATTCCTTGTAAACATGCATTTAAGAACGATCGACCACAGTAAGGGACCCCCCCTCCAGTCCTGGGCAGTTCACCCATTCCGACCGAACGCCAGTAGCCCCAAATAGTTTCTGTGCATGACGTAAACCGGATGTTTTTTCAACTGAACCGTAGGCGAAAGCTTTTGTAGTTGTAAAATCTATTAATTTCCTTTCTTCATCATTTTCCTTTTGGAGTCTCTTCCTTGCAGAGATGAGAACCGAAGTACCACGGAACACCGATAGTTCGTCAGTTCTTAACTATTGAAATGGTTGGTTGCATATAGCTTTTCGTATTTTTAAGTCTGTCTCAATCAATCATTGGAAATGAACTCCTCTGCAGCATGTAATAATAATTTCTCTTGGGTACTTCTCTGCACAGGTATTCTCTCTAAATCACACTTTGAAGTTTAAGGTGAATACAAGCCAGTTTCCCTTAAAGGTCCTCTACGATGGCTTTAGGCAAAAAGTGCTCGCGTACATTGCGGTAATCAAATAAAACAAATCAAGCCTGACTGTTTGCATACTAAATGGCATAACATATTCTTTAGGAATTCCTTCGGAAAGCTGTTTTCACTAAGGCAAAATCTTGTTATGTATATTCTTCTCTAAGCGGTTCTCGAAACATTAATCTAGGCTTTGATGTAATAGATGAAATACTAAATTAATAATGAATGACTATGTATAAATATTAAAAGATATAAGTGGGCCGCCCAACTGGGATAGTGATTAGCGACGCTGACTGTCGTAAAGGAGCCGGGTTGGAATCCCGGAAAAGGCATTGATTTTTGTAAATGTATAGTATCTTAGAGGCATGGGAGGCGCTCTAAATATGCAGCGAGCCGAAAGTCCTCTCGACAGGTTGGTGACAGAGTAAAAGGAAAGGGGTGGGAGACCCGTCGCCCCGGGATGCTGCCCATCAAAATTGGGGGCGGAACTGAGCAAAGTCATACTGTCATATGTATGGTGCTCAAGGCTTTTGCCAACTACAGCCGCTGTCTTGCACTTCTTACCACGATGGATTTCGTGGGCTTGTTCTGATGTTAGTGTCAGACAAGTGAGATAAGCACTTGTCTGACAACAACAAACAACATATCTAAGTGGTTCTGACATACCAACCTAGATTCAAATCTAAGAGGTTCTGAAACACAAAAACCGACTTACTCCAATAGATGATTAATTAAGACCAAGCCTTTATATATAAATATAGCTCAGTGCAGAAGAACTGAGTAATGAATTACGAATGAAGAGTAATGAGGGTCGAATCTCGTCTAGTCAAAAATCTAACATTATCGGAATTTGATCTCCAACTAAATAATAATCTATAATTTTTCTGGAAAGACCGTCAATGATGCTATAAATTCTGGTTGAATAAAAAAAGTGCAGTCGTTTCTGAACGATAATGTGGAAGGGAAATGTAGGGTGAATGCCATCTATATCTATATATTGAAATGTCGGAAGCCAGGTATTAAACAAATTGCAAAGTAAGCGTATATTAGTGCAATTAATTTGGAAAGCATTTCTTGAAAGTGTTCCGTTTCAAATTTTCTCTTATAGCGAGGCTTCTATTTATAACTTTCAATCCCTATTCAGTTATGATAACCTTTGGGAAATGTTTTAGTTAAATAACCAATCAGGTTAATTATGTAGTGTTACAAATTATTTAATGATGAAATAATTTTAAAAGCATTGAAAATTTTACTTAAATTTTCCCTTTAAATTCTTATGGATTTTAATATTTTCAAATACTGCAAATTATCAGTTGTTCCTTGAAAAGATTGCATCTCATTTGTCTCTTGCTTTGTTTCTGATATTTTGATTTTTTACGTTTGTTTTCAGCCATAGATGCAGACTTTGTCAATGTTACTACAATCATCACTTCCAGGAATGCAAATCGCAATGAACTTTTGAGAAAGAGCGTTTGTCTTCTGCAGTCTGCATATGCTGTGAAGGTTACTGATCTCTACAGGTAAGATACAAATCTTGGGTTTGTATCCTTTCTTATTCTGTTTCATTTTTCGAAGAGAAATTGTGAGGGAAAGAAAAAAACAAATCCCTCATCTGTATCTCCCGTTTTTTAAACAGCTATTCCTGGGTCTGCGGAACTGCAATTGAAGGAAGTACTTTAACCCTCTCAGAAAGAGTCAGCGTGAATCCAGTTGCGCCATTTTTTGGAGGGTGATTGTTTTGTTGTCATCTTTATGTTCCGAACTGCGTGGCATCCTGGGATTTGGCAAGGTGATGAGCACGTGGTCCTCGTGACGGGTTTTTGAGCTGTATTTATAGCTTGGAAAAAGGTGCATCTGCAAAAAGCCAGCCTTCAGACTGGTCCCGTAAGCCCGAAATAACCAAGCTTTTTTGAGCTTCACCATGATGTGCGAAGTTATTCCCTCTCAGATGATACAAGTTGCGATGGCAGGGAAGGCAGTCACGAAAGTCGTCCACAGGTGTTATACTGCCAAAGAAGACAGAAATCTTAGTAAGTTGCTATTTAGCTCTAAGTATATTTTAGTGATTAACTTGAGAATTTTAAATGGAAATCGAAATTGAAGAATTAAGTATGTTTTTATGTATCCTTTAGGACAATTGCATTAGAATGCTTCCAAATAAACTTCCGAATGTATTCCAATTGTACTTTTAGCATCTTGGCTGTCTTAATACGGCGTAAAAACTGCCGTCTTCTTTGATGTACCAAATGTTAATGAAAAACTCGGAATATCTTAAAATTAATTAAAAGATTTAAATATGTTTAAATGCTTTTTGGTTTCCCTGTTTTCGTTTGTTAATACAAACCGATGTTATAATCAGATTTTAATAATAATAAAAATGAGATAAGAATGGAAAGTGATCTTAAAAATGTGTTAAATATAATACAGTTCTGTTATTCTCTGGGTTTGCATTTAAGAATTTCTTATAATGAATGTGATCTTAGGTATAAAGATTAATAACATGCAAGATTAAAAGACCATCGAATTGTTTAGAAAGGATTTGTGCGTATTAGAATTTTTTAATATCGCTTTCATATTTGTATGACTGGAATATATTTAACGGCAAATCAACATACCGTTTGCAAATATAAAACTTTAAAAACATAGATCGAATAAGATCGTAATATAAAACTTTAAAATTTCAAGTTCGTAATTAAAGTTCCTTATATTTAGGTTATAATTTTCATGGTCAGTTTTTAAAAGTTCATGTTTTAAAAATGTTGCCTTATATTTTTGTTTTAGTGAAATCTAATTTTTAATTAATTTTAGTGGAAAATATTTACTTACAGTTGATTCTCTTTTTAAGCGATGTTTGTTGTATGGTTTTGCAAACAATGTTTGTAATCCTTTTTATATTTGCACATCTCAATTTCAAAATGTAAAAGTTTTAATGGAACGCATTCTCTCATATCGCATTCAGAAAAGTAAAATACCCTAAGTAGTAAATATTTTAATCCTTATGCCCCCAGTAAATCATTTACAAAAACTTATCTATCTTATTACATATTGCAAAGATTTTGTCATCGTTGGATAAATACAAGGTTTCTTTTAGCGGTAGATGCGTATGACGTGAAAGTCACGCAGTTTTATTGAAATAATTTGCTGAATTGTGTTTACCTTAAATAATGCTTCTTTACTTGCACAAAAAGGGCATACCTATAATTGATTATATATTTTTAGTGGTTAATTTTTACAGAATTTGAAAATTAAAAGATGTAACATGAAACTATTGATATTTCTCAAAAGTACGTATTGGCTAAATTGCGAACAGCCGAGCATTGATAATTTCACTGAGGTATATTTCTCAAGGGGGGGGACGATTCTTTCTATCAGTAAACCAATTAATGCTTCTAAATACTTTTTAGTATGTATATTCGGTTCTTGCCGAATGGGTTGACTAGACAGATTTCGTGACGTTTCCACAAATAATGTGAATTCTATATACTTTCCATCATATACCTCTATAGATAAGTTCTCGACCACTGGAAGTGCTCGCTTACGAGACAGACAGCTCCCTCATGCTTTGCTATAATCTTTCAACCGATGTGCATTACTTATATAGAGCTAATTTTTTAACAAACGCACATTTTTGTTTCTTTAAAAAAGAACTCGAAGGTAGTATTTAACATAATGTTGTGTTTCATTGCATCTTTTAAAATATTGCATGTTTAGTTTACCAAGCTCTAAAAATCTCTTAAGCGTTTACATAAGTTTCAAAAGATTTCTGAATTCGGAATCGTTTGAATGAATTAAATTTCTCGGTATCTACCTGTGATTAAACTATTTTCTTTACTATTCTGCGGTGCGAAATATTTGTTTATTAAACAATTATTATTTTACTTGCCATAGTGTATCAAACAAAAAAATTAATTTTTGGTACATCATAGAACTTCGTAAAATCTAGAGCAGCAGTTCTCAACCTTTTTGACTAGCGCTACCATCTAAGCAAAAAATTGAAAACCTTTAGTACTACCACCAATAATCGTGAACAAAGCTCAGATCGCATAAATTTACGAGTGTTGGAGAAAACCTTCAATCAGGATGTTGGGATTTTAATTTTTTAATTTAATAGTTTAAAATATTTTGCTTCTTTGCGTACCACCTATTTTTCTCTTGCGTACCACCGGTTGAGAACCCATGATCTAGAGCATACATAAATATGTAGTTTAAAAATATAAGACTTTCAATCATTAGATCTTACTCGTATCACATGAGACCAAATAGGGAAAAAATCTGATTTATCAGTTTCGCTTTTGGGGACTTTTGATGTCTCTTTCAGTTTAGCGACTTTTGTGTAGGAATTAAAAGGCAGACTTTCATATTAAAGTTTATGCGCAAAGCGTCATAAGATACTGATGCAAAGTTAGAGCATGAAAAATAAATTTTGTTTGCGAATTTTCGGAAATTGCATTTCTTACAAATATTCTAATTATGTCTCCCGGAGGGATAAAATGCCAGCATAAGATAAATCTAGCATTCTCAGAATAAAGTGCTGTGGCTTTTGTTATTGCAGTAACTTAAAAACTAGTTAATATCTTCATTATCAGTTCATAAATTGGTGCAAAGTTTATTCTTAAAGAAATCTAAATCCTTTTTGATTATTAATCACGCACATGTCAGTCTTCCGTGAGACCACGAAAATTTTCAAAGAACCACGTTTTTAGATCACGGACCATTTTTTGGATCGGTTTATTTCCATTCCATGGCGTAATCATTTACAGGCAAATTTCTAACGCAAAATTCAACTACATTCAAATAAAAAAACACTGGGAAACCATAATTTGAAACATAACACGAAAATCTCTATCCTACCAGAAATTACAGAAAGTTTAAAAAATGGCACTAGAATATATGTCATGGTTTACCATGTTATACTGCTAGTTTAGCTAAGATCGACTAAAAGTTCATATGCTTTTTATACGTTATTCAAGTCAACTTTGTACATACGCGTATTAATGGAGCAATTTCATATTGCACTGCTACTGAAATTTCATATTCTTAGAAAAAATTATTTAACTAAGTGACTAGAATGATTACAAATTTAATTTGGTTTTTAAAGAACCTATATTGTGCAATACATTTAGGTACTGTTTGTTATCGTGATCGGATTCAGAAATCTATGAATGCATGCGTGTTTGTATATATTTGTATATGTATATGCATGAACATACATGTATACATCTATACATACATTCTTTATCCGGTTCTGATAACGGGACAGTACCCAAATTTGCTATCCTCAAGATGTATTTTTGTCTATACTAGTTTCTGCATATGCATGAGAGGTTTGGTTTATTTGAGCATGGTAAAGCATTCAAGGGCTACGGCCTAAATGGAGAGATGTTTTGTGGAGGAATTTCTAAGGGAAAATGGCTCGTACGCACGTTACAGATGTAGAAACCCCATAGAGACCCATGCAGAAAGCCCGTTAGCCGGGATTCGAATCCCGGGACGAATTACTAATATTCAACGATTTTTACCGGTCGGCCGTTGGTAGGCTGTGTCCATGAGAGTGGTGATGCATACAAGTTTCTATTTTTTGTAATAATAAACGTATAAATTTCCTGTGAAAATAAACATATATGTATATATATTTTGATCAGAAAAATCATCCTCGAAGCGATCGATATTGAGATTTTTGCGCTAGACTCTTAAAAAAATCATGAACATAACGTGAAATAGACCTTCATATGAAAAAGGCGTTATGCTCTTCCCCAACGAATAAAATTTTTTACGTTGTCAAAATCATGTCAGAGTAAATATCATGAACGTCATCAAAAGAATAAGAACATTATTCAAGTGAAAATTTCAATTACTAGAATTTTAAGTTTATAAAGACTCTCCACTGGTAGTTCTACCTGGGTTCAAATCACAGCAAATTGCTGCATGGCCTTTTTCCCATGTGTGACGAGCAAGTTTTCCTCAGAAAGTCCTATAAGGAAGACATCCCTCTTCATATGCATATAGTCCTTAAGTTTCTTTTAACTCAATCCTTCGAATACGGAACCCATGAATAATGCGTTCACCTCTTGTCATGAATATATACAGAGAACGCTCTCATCTCGTTGGCAAAAATTGGGATTTCAATGGCTATAAATTTTGCAGGAAGGGAAGGTATGATTTTTCACGCTTTATGAATTTTGTACCCTCTTTCAGAATTTTGTACCCTCGTAACTATCGCGATTTCAGAAAATGATAATATTTATCTGTTTTAGGAACAGACTTTGAAAACATTACGCTACCTAATTCAAAAATTTAAATGGCTAAAGCCGTGATAACTTCGTTTCTTTCGATATATTGTTGCGAAACGGGCAGGGTTGCATGTGTAATTGTGAATTTTTGGTATATTCTTGTTTAGGGCTACCACCGGCCGAGAAGTCTTTGAACAGTGGTAGTTCGGTCCACGGTTCGAGTTCCTACGAACGGGCTGCCTGCGTGGACGTTTTCATGGTTTTTCCCATGCGTAACGTGTATACGAGCCAGTTTCTCTTAGAAAGTCTCGAAGAAGGCAATTCTACCCTTAGCTAGACAGCTCTCGAGTGCTTTGTCATAATTAAACAAATGTGCCTTGTTTAGGGTATCTTGTTCCTTATTTTAGGGTACTTGCATATTAACATAACCACTTATGTGGCATCTGACGATTTTTTACAGGAGAAAGAATGACTTATAATTGCAAAATTCTATTGTATATTACATAAATTTAATTGCGTTCAATTATTTAGTTATCTCAAAATTAAATCTTACAAGTAATTACGATCGCTTAAATGTGGATTCAAGACAATTTTTCTATTTGAGCGATTTTTATATTTGAAATGCATAATATGTGAATGGAGTTTTCGATGTTGAGTTACAAGCATATGGTCGTTCCCTGCAATATCTGGTATCATTGCGACAGATTTAACAGAGACTGAATTTGATAATGATACAAAACAGGGATTGCTAATCTTCATGTCAGTAGAAACCAGAAGTTAAAATTCAGATTTATTCAAAA